CCACCGCCCGGCTCCCCCAGTATTTCTCATTAAAAACTTTGGCTATGCCCCCTTTCCAGTGGTCTATATTCTTTCTTATTTATTTATTTATTTTGATTTTTCGAAACAGGGTTTTACTGTAGTTTTAGAGCCTGTCCTGGAACTAGCTCCTGTAGACCAGGCTGACCTCAGACTCAAAGAGATCTGCCTGCCTCTGCTTCCTAAGTGCTGGGATTAAAGGTGTGCGCCACCACCACCTGGCAAGTTTTATTTTATGCCTAGTATTAAGATAAGACTAATAGTTGCCCCACAATCGTTCTTTTTGTCTTCTAGCCACTCGTCCACTGTCCACAGTTTGTCACTAGCTGGGACTATCCCCAAAAGTCTGCTGTGCTGGTGTGGGCAGTTCCATCTATCACAGCATGATGACATCCTGGGATGAGCACCACTGGAAGGAGATAGGACAGAATCCCTGTGCGGCCAGTTGGTTATCATGGTAGGTCTCTAGGAAACGGAGGTACTGTGAGACAAAGTTACTCTCCAGACTACTCCATGTGTCGGGGTCTGTCTGGAGGACCCCAGGGGATATCAGGAGACACAGCAGGAGCTGAGCTGTCATCCCCATTCCCAGGTTATTTTTATGGTCAGTTTCAGAGGCTAATCTTGGCTCCCTCTTGTGGCCGGCCCACTTCTGGCTTGAGCTCACGGCAGCCTTGGCATGGGTGTGGTGTAGCCACAGCTTGATGCCTGCAACCTTAAGAGCTGAGGAGTGGGCATTTTTTGTGCAGGGTCATCTAAATCTTTCAAGAGCCACTAGATGCGGGGGTGTTCATACCCTTGGAGGTCCCCCGAGTCCTTCGGGAAGTAGTTCATGGAGATGGGGGCCAAGCACAGTCTCATAATGTACCCTAGACAGTATAAGTGACAGGATTCTGACCAAGGGAGATCTGTTTCTTGGCAATGTTGGGCTGGTGCTGTTTGTTCTTTGATTTTTTTTTCAAGACAGGGTTTCTCTGTGTAGCCCTGGCTGTTCTGAAATGCACTATACAGAGCAGGCTGTCCTGGAACTCACAGAGATCCACCTGCCTCTGCCTCCCAAGTGCTGGGTGGGATTAGAAGCATGCACCACCACTGCCAGGAGAGCTTCTATATTTAGTTACTCTTACTTGAGCTAGCATTCTGCCATGGTCGCCTTACATTTGTTCATTCTACTAAAAGTTCAGGAAAGTAGTGAGCCCAGAGGAGAAATGAACAAACAAACAAAGACACAATGAAAAACCATCCAAAACCACCCAAACAAGCTGGGCAGTGGTGACACACACCTTTATTCCCAACGTTTGGAAGACAGAAGCAGGCAGATATCTGTGAGTTTGAAGCCAGCATGGTCTACAGAGTGAGTTCCAGGTCCTCCAGCACTACACAGAGAAACCCTGTCTCGAAAAACAAAACCAAACCAAAAGGCAAATCCCAAACAACAAGCATAGAAAAAAATCATCAAGCCGGGCGGTGGTGGCGCACGCCTTTAATCCCAGCACTCGGGAGGCAGAGGCAGGCGGATCTATGTGAGTTCGAGGCCAGCCTGGTCTACAAGAGCTAGTTCCAGGACAGGAACCAAAAGCTACAGAGAAACCCTGTCTCGAGAAATCCAAAAAAAGAAAAAAATCATCAAAGGATCCAGATGGGGGAGATGGCTCAGTCAGTGCATCAGTTTGGTGTCGATCCCTGTGATAAAAACAGCTGGAAGCAACTGGGGTGGTGAGGGTTTATTTGAGGGTTTATTTGGTACACAGGTTATAGTCTGTTTTTTTGAGAGAAACTAAGGTAAGGAGCTCAAAACGGGGTCCAGGAGGCAGGGGCCGAATCAGAGTGCAGGCTGGCAAGCTGCTCACTGGCTGGCTTCTTCCACTTGCCCAACTACCTCAGGCAGCCCAGGAACACCTGCCTAGGGAAGGGGTGGCTCTGCCAACCATGGGCCAGTCAATTACCAATTCAGAAACTGCATCACAAAGATACTCACAGGCCAATCCGATGGAGGGAACTCCTCAACTGAGGGTTCCTCCTCCCAGGTGACTGAGCTTGTGTGGTAAAGGGGGTGGCTGCCCTGCCTGAGGAAGTGAGTTTGATCCTTGCCTGCATGGTGGAAAGAGAGGTCTGAGAACAACAAGCTGCCTCTGCCTTCCACATGAACACATTATTTATTGTACTCTCAAGTGCACGCACACATTATATAAGTACATGTAATATAAAAATTTCAAGGAAGACCTCTCTGAGTTCCAGCAGGGTAGTGGGAGCGCTCTTGCAGTTGAAAGCAGTAACCGGGGTTGTAGCTGTTCATGAAGGCAGACTAGGGGGACCAAAAGGCAAAAGGGAGGGCATGTAAGTCATTGTCACCAGTGAGGAGTGTGAGGAGAAAGAGGGATAGCCTGGCGGCAGGGAAAGTTGTTAGGGGCTAGAGGGAAAGGATGGCACATGGGGATGGCTGTGTCCATGCCCAGAGGAGATGATGCAGGCAGGATGGCGGCAAAGGGCACCTAGGTTTCTCAGCATTCAGAGTGACCAAGGGGATGGTGTGAGCAAGGAGAGTGAAGGGAGCAGCTCACCACAGTGGCCAGCGCCTTGTACACAGCAGCTCACAGGTAGGTGGCCAGGGCCCGACAAAGGTGCACTTTTCTGAGAATGGTTCTTTTTGTATAGTATACATTGGTTCACACGTTCCACTTTGCACTTGGAGGCCAGAGGTCCATGTCTGTTTGGTGTCGTCACCATTTCTCTGGTCTGTCTCACTAATCCTAGAGCTAGCTAATTCAGCTAGGTGGCTTGGCTAATGAGCCCCAAGGGCTCTTCTGTCTCCACTTCCCCAGGCTTGGTTTACAGGGGGCACTATCACTGCTCAATTTTTTACATGCATGCAGCAGATAAGCAGCCCGAGTTCAAAGACATGAAGATGGAAGGAGAAAGTCCACTCTGTGAAGGTCTTTGAACTTTATACATTGCATGGCTACACACACACACACACACACACACACACACACACAGAGAGAGAGAGAGAGAGAGAGAGAGGCACTGAAAAAGACTGAGAGAAAATACTAATTCAGTAATACTGTCACAGCAAGGTGGTGGTGGCACATGCCTTTAATCCCAGCACTTGGGTGGCAGAGGCAGGAGGATCTCTGTGAGTTCGAGGCCATCCTGGCCTACCAAATGAGTTCCAGGACAGGCTCCAAAGTTACAGAGAACATGCCTGTTCTCGGGGAGAACACCTACGACGTAATTATGTGTACTTCTTGATCTCATCATACAAGACAAGCACAAAGGCACCACCCATGCCCCTGAGAACGTTGGACCATGCACCCTTGAAAAAGGTCTTGCTTCCTTCGTCACGAGCAATCTTCCTCCAGCAGTCGATCGTGCCTGTGTACATGATGTCATATCTTGAACATTCTGGACAGATTCTCTGGGCTGTCTGTTTTATCAATGACAACTATTTACCAGTTGAAAAGTGGGAAGCAATAATAGTCATCTGACCAGTTTTCTCTTAAAGCCATTTCCATAATGACAATAATGATGGGACTCAATTATATTTTTTATTTCAGTCACTCCTGATAATAAAAATTGAAGAAATAAAAATATCTAAGACAAAAAACCAAAGTTACAGAGAAACCCTAACAAACAAACAAACAAACAAAATAATCTCTGTCCAAAGAGGCTGAGAATGTGGCTTAGAAATTAAAAGCACTTGCTGCTCTTGCAAAGGGCCAAAGTCTGATTCTCAGCATCCACATAAAGGCTCACAACCATCTGTAACTCCAGTTCCAGAGATTCAACACCCTCTTTGACCTCCTAGGGCACCAGGGATGCCCAGCCATTCATGCAGTCAAAATAACCACACACATTAAAAACAAGCCTCAGGAAAGCCTTACTAGCCGCCACTTGGTGGCGCTGTCAGAACAGGCATGTCATTTTAGACACCCGTGGTTCCCTTCTGTGTCAGAAGCATCTTAGGTGTGTCTGGTTAAGATCTCAAACCACCTACAAATTGGCTTATTTATAAATTTTCCATTAATTTCAGCCTTTGGGTGAGACAGATATCTAAAAACAGAGTTAAAACAAAACCTGACACCAACTCATGTTAACTATTTTTTATTGGTATGATGACAAAATAAATTTCTGTAGATAAACAACGGATATGGAGAATGGGCAAGGGTGTTTTGAGAGTTTTGTTCTTTCACATCCTGTCTGGAGTTTGATTTATTTTGTGTTTGTTACTGGGGTCAGACCCAGGGCCTCCTGATGCTAAGTAAGCACCCAACACCGAGGCAATCTATTAACCCTCAGTAGCCTGAAGCCATGGCCTTGTCTGTAATCCAGCTACTTTAAAGTGGAGGCAGAATCGTCAGCCTAAGGCGTCCCGGCAAAACTGCTTATCTTACATATACAAAAATGAGGGCCGGTGAGATGGCTCAGTAGCCAGCCGGCGTTGAGTCTGAGCCTCTCGGCCTATAGCTGATGAGACCCGGGTCAGTGCGAAACCGTGCGCACGCGCAAGTTTTCCAGTCCGGTTTCCGTCAACGTACTGAGGCGGACGGGAGGAACGTGCGCAGTCAGAGGGCCCACCCTTACTCCATTGCGTCACGTGATAACGGTCGCTCGGAAAAACCGCCACTGGGAAAAAAACAAAACAAAACATATGTCTCATCAGGTGATACAGGTCTACCAATAGGGACAATGAGACAAGAAACAACAACAAAAAAGTCCCTGTCACATGACAGAAGCGGGGCCAGTCATTGTCATGTGACTCAGCAAACCCACCAGAAGAGGCCAGGCATTGACGTCACGCAACCAGGAGCAGCCCCGGTGCCAACGTCACGTGATGAGGCCCCGCCCCCTCAATCACATTCCATCCCACCGCCCACTGGGGGCTGGGCCTAGGTCGGTCGCCCACGTGATGCGGGGGCGGGGCCCTGACAGTCACGTGGCCTGGCACCTCCCCGGCGCGCGCCCGCCCGCCGCTCGCCCCCGGCTCCTCCTCCTCTTCTCGCCATTGCAGTTGGGACTGGAGCAGCCCCGGCGAAAACCGCGTGGCCTTTTTTTTTTTTTTTTTGAGGGGGCTGTGAAGACTGGTGAGCAAGAGGGCGGCGGCGGCTGAGGTCGAGGGACCGGAACGCTGACAAGGTAAGCGGCAATGTGGCGTCTCCCGCCTCCGCCCCTCCCCCCCGTCCGTTCTCCCACTTGTCAGCGCAGGCTGGTTGACGGGACGCTAGTGACAGGGCAGTTGCCATCCTGCCGAGCCTCTCCTCTGCTCGGATCTTCCTCCCCTCGGCGTCTCGCTCCTTCCTCCTCCTCCGGCCTTGCTCCCGCGCTTGGCCGTTACTCTCCCCCATTGTGCCGAGGAAACAAAATGGCGGCGGGAGTGCCCCTGTGCGCGCGCATCCGTGCTCCCCCTTCGTGGCCCCCTCGGCCAGGGCCTGGGCACCGCTCTCTGGGGGTGCGCAAGCACTGTGATATCCCCCGCTTCCCGGGCCGCTTACTTTGTCCTAGGCCGAGCTTTTGTCTGTTGCTTCGACCCTGCGCACGCGCGCACGTGTTGGAGCACACACCCCCTCACATCCCGGGCATCCCGGCGGGCGCGGAAGGGTCGATCCCCCTCCTTTACCCCGCGTTCTCTCTTTGTTAAGCTACATCTCTGGCTTCCTGGAGCCTGCCAGGTCATCCCAGTTCCCAAGGCGGGAAACATATCTTCTTTGTCCTGAGCACGGTCCTCTCCTTAGACATCGTTGAGGGAAGCATTTATGGATTCATCGGGTCCTTAAAGCCTAGGTCTGTAGGTTTCCTCCAGTTGGAGACCCAAACTTAAGACTGAGTTTCCCCTTCTTTGAGACCAGGTGGTTTCCATTGATCATGTTTCCCAGGTTGTTTAGGCTCTGCCTCCAATCCTCAAAACGGTGATGTGGTGTTGCTGATCTGCAAGATTAGCATGTTTGAAGGCTTTCGAACGTGCGTGCTTTAGATTTTCTTTATTAAAGTAGTTGAATGATGGGAATTCACCTTAGGTTATTCCACAATTCAGATAAACTACTTGGAGTGTATAATGGTCTGTTTGATTCCCCCTTTATGTACCCCAACTGGGGAAGAGTAAGCCATCTCTTAGTAAAATTGCTGGTAAGTTGCTACTTTAGGATACATGGTGGATCAGCAAGGAGGCCTCAGTTTCTGTGATATGCTTCTCTGTTGGGATTTGAGTATTCTGAATGTGTCTTTTTGGTTCAAAATTCTGTTCCATTTGAAATGTTCAGTATGATGATGTGTCCACAGGAAAAGGAGAGGTGCTATTCAAAGTTAGGGTTCATGTTTAGGACCTCAGGTTTTTGTGGTGGAGACCCATTGTGGGTTGACACTGTTGTTTGAGTGTGGTCTTCTGCCTGGGGTAGCTACTGCAATTATGCAGCCTGTGGACGACATGTGGTGGGCGAGAGCCTCCTTCACAGCCGCAAAGGAGAATGGGCACTGGCAGGTGCTGCCGCTCTTGTCCGGTAGAGCTGAGGTCTTTGCCCTTTTGCTTGCTTTGTGGGTAGCTCCTGGTCACTGGGGTTTGTGAATGGACTCTGCAGCCCCAGGGTATTGGCTGGAAATCTGCAATCCATATTGGAGGCTGCTGATTGGTGCGAGACCAGCCTTTGCAGCACTGGGCGCTCCATCGCTCTATATCTGCTGCGAGTTTGGACCAGTCTGGGGATCCCTTCCTTATGGAGCTGAAAAGTGCCTGATTGTTATCGGCTTTTCTGATGGATACCTGTAAGCAAAAGTTCCTTTGGCTCCTTTTAGTACTGTTTTTCTCGACTCATGTCATTGTGAATAAACTGTGCTTTACTTATTTCGTTCAAATTCTTCTGGTCTCAAAGTCCTACAAGAGTACTTATAAGACTTTTTTTCTGACCCCCTTCCCTTTTCATTTCCTTTTCCGATGCAGGGTTTCTCTGTGTATCCCTTGGCTGTCCAAGGAACTTGCCCTGTAGACCAGGCTGGTCTTGAATCAGAGATCACCTGCCTCTTCCTCCTGAAAGCTGGGGTTGAAGGCATGTGCCATTGCTGCCTATTTCTTTCTTTCTTTTCTTTCTTTTTTTCTTTTGGTTTTTCGAGACAGGGTTTCTCTGTAGCTTTGGAGCCTGTCCTGGAACTCCCTTTGTAGACCAGGCTGGCCTCGACTCACAGAGATCCGCCTGCCTCTGCCTCCCGAGTGCTGGGATTAAAGGCGTGCGCCACCACCGCCTGGCTATTCTTTCTTTTTTTGAAGTATTGTCTCACTGTGTATCCCAGGCCGGGCTTGAACTTGGAATCCTTGTGCCTCAACCTTCTGAGGGCTGGGATTATATCTGTGTGCCACTACACCAGGCTTCCCGACCCCCCCACAGGATTTTGCTCTATGGAGAAGGCATCTGTTGTGGGAGTAAGGTGTAGATGTGAGTTAGACGAGTCTTTCTTTGGACAAGGCCCCACTGTGTGACCTCTTAACCCTTGGAGATCTGCCTTTCTCTGCTTCTTGAGTGCAGGGATCAATGGTTTGTGACACATCTGACCAGAAGTTCTTCTCTGGGCTCAGATAGCTTTCCCCCCACGTAGATGGAGTCTCACACTGAAGTCCAGACTGGTTGCAAAGTACGTTAACCTGAGTGCTGGGATTGCAGGCTGTGCCGAATGTCCTTTTTTAGTTCCTTGTTACTTTTCTTGTTCCGGGGGAGTGATTCTTATCCTCAAGAAATGTAGATTTCTCTTTCTTTCTCTTGCCTGTGATGCTACTTTTTTTAAAAAATATTTATTTATTATGTATACAATATTCTGTGTGTACGCCTGCAGGTCAGAAGAGGGCACCAGACTCCATTACAGATGGTTGTGAGCCACCCTGTGGTTGCTGGGAACTGAACTCAGGACCTTTGGAAGAGCAGGCAATGCTCTTAACCTCTGAGCCATCTCTCCAGCCCCTTTTATGGTTTTTTTGAGACAAGGTTTCTCTATGGAGCCCTGGTTGTCCTGGAATTTACTCTGTAGAGCAGGCTGGCCTGGAACTACAGAGATTCACCTGCCTCTGCCTCCCTAGTGTTGGGGTTAAAGGCATGCGCCACCACAGCCCAACTAACACACTGCTGCTACTTTTTTATTATAAGCTGCATATTTATTTGCTTAGAGTCAGTATCTGCTACATATTGTCAGTTGTTTGACTTGAGCTATTCTGTCAATATGTGTGGCCCATGAACTTGTAACACCCCACCCCCCTACCCCCTCCTTTTCCTATGTAGTCATGTGTTAGCCAGCTTAGCCTAGCTTCAGCTCCTGGTTTAGACTTTACAGTGGTGGGGCTTTACAGTGCAGGTGATTGAGTGTTGTTTTTAACAAAATCTCAATTGCTCAATTTTATCAATAAAGACTTGGGAGAAAGACGCTAGAGTGAAGAGCCTGCTAGCTCAAGAGAGGCAGAGAAAGCACCCGACTCTCCTCAACCAGTGTTCCAGAAGCCCCTTTCTTCTCCCATGCATTCTTAAACCAAACTCCTCAAACTGAATGCCCTTCCCTTCTACTTCGTGTGTATCCCTCATCCTTCCTCCTGACTCACTCTTACTCTATGGTTTTTTCCTTAATAATCCGGTTTACTCCCTATCAACTGGTTGCTTGCTCTGCCTCTTGACCTATGGTTGACTTTTTTTAATCCTGTTCACAATATTCAAGCAGAAAGCACTTGGATTAAAGGTGTGTGATAAGGCTGAGCCACACCACAGCAGAAACAGTTTTTTCCAGTAGATAATGCAGTCTCAGGGTTCACACTATGATCAAATATCGTGCAACATTTCACCCTTTTGGTCTAAATAAAAAGGAAAGATTTGAACTCTAACACAGTAAAACTATTTACAATGTCTAGCTTGGTTATATTTGACAGTTTTAGGATTTTTTTTTTTTAAATTTTGATGTTCTGTAAAATGTTCATGTCAGTCTCATGAACTCAGCAATTTGAATATCCTGAGTAGTTTGTAGTCCAAAGCTGATCTTTGGGCAGTGGTTGTCAATTTAGTGGCAATCCTGGCTCGATAGAGCACAACAGTCAATCCAAAGGTGTCCATTGATTGCACAGAACCTAGCAGCATAAGAGGCATGGAGCAGGTTTGCCTAGTGGTTAGCATTACCACACTCAAGGTAGATTTGTCATTGCAGGGCATATCATCTTGGATACCTCAAAGGCCGGGCGGTGGTGGCGCATGCCTTTAATCCCAGTAGTTGGGAGGCAGAGGCAGGTGGATCTCTGTGAGTTGGAGGCCAGCCTGGTCTACAAGAGCTAGTTCCAGGACAGGAACCAAAAAAGCTACGGAGAAACCCTGTCTCAAAAAAATCAAAAAATCCCCCCCCCCAAAAAAAAGGTCACTGTTAGGAATGGTCACAGTTTATCATAGAAAACTACAACATTTTCAGCAGCTCTCTGAAAGGTTTGAGGACCACAATCTAGTAAGTACATCTGAGGTACATAAACTTGGTTCCTAGTTACCTGCTTCAGACTCAAACCTGAAAACATGTACAGGAAGCTAGATGAGTCTTATTTCTAGATTAGTCAGAATTCTGTATGACCATTAGTATTCCAGTGGAAAGTTCATATGCATATGATCTTACAGGTTTTGAGACCATGTATACCTTAAGAAGTTTAAGAGAATCAAATGAAAACAAAAAGATTATGATGAGATTAGTGCCTGCTGGGAATTGAACTCAGGACCTCTGGAAGAGCAATCAGTGCTCTTAACCTCTGAGCCATCTCTCCAGACCCCACCATCTTTAGTTTTTAATTGAACTGGTACTACATAAAGACCATTTGCCACTTATGTCTATAGAGGGCAGCAACTACAAACATTTGGGAATCTGACTGTCCTGCCCCCAACTCCCCATGGTTATCTGAAGGGAAGGTCGTCTGTCAGGAAGGGTTAGCTACCCAGGCAAGATGGTGGAATGGGTGTCAGCGTTAGCTAGTCTGCGACTACGAGACAGAATTTCAGGACAGTTAGCTGGAGGTGGGTGATACTATTTGTCCATTTTACTCTTTTTTTTTGGGATATTTTCTCTTGATGATCTTGATGATCCTTTTTCTACACATGTTTCACTTGTCCAGTGGTCTCTGGATTTTTTTAGTTGGATGCAAAACC